TAGTCTACTTAGTCTAGTGTTAATAGTGTTTAATGTGAAGAGTGCAGAATGACTCACAAATTGCTGACTGGCAGATGCAGGTCATCAGCGCTCTGACAAACATGTTGGAGGAGGTCTGCTGCTCATCCAGGTTGGCCTACAAAGAATCACGTTTATTTACGTGTGCACAAAACTGGAAAACACCACCCAAAATACGACGACCTGTCTGAATCAGCTCTGTTAGTGCTGCGGTTACGAAAGTTGCTTTGTTGAGAAACTAACGATGACACATTTTCAGGTTCTAAAAGTCAGAACCCACATGAGTGGATCTGAAACAAACCTCAATCCAGTCAAAGATCCTCTGGTTGTCAGCCTTGTCCTGGATCAGTCTGTCCAGCTGGCTGGTCAGATCTGCAGTGCTGAGCTCCTTCTTGTCCTTCTCTGACTCATCGCCCAGTGTAAACTCCACATTCTACAGACAGAGAAAGAGAGGGGTATCGTGGTCATTTTTCACGACGTTTGTCACATCACATGCTATGAGAATATTTCTTCCTTTTATCCTGCATTACATTAAATGTGATGAGAGGATTGTAACACTGCATATTGGACTGGAGGATTAGACTATTATACTACTATTATTAATGGAACTCATTTAAGATCCATGTGTGGTATTTTAAGATCACATAAACAATGATGATACCTAACATTTGATGAGTTATTACTTTCCACCTCTGGTCATTTTTCTGCATTTCTTCAGCATCTGTCATTACAGTGGTAAGATACTTTTTTTCTCACTTGGATCTGTATGATGTACAATGCTGATATCCTTAATACGGTAAAAAAAAACTGAATTATGTAACACTAATTCAAGATAGTTTAAAAGAATTGGAGCATGATAACCCTGTGGAGGTTTTCTTTAACTATGTGAACACAAAGTCACGTCCAGATGTTTAGTAATCAGACTCCTCAGTTAAGACCTGAGCTTTAGATTCTTGCTTTTTTCCTTTGCAGTGTTGAATTACATCGAGGATAACCACAGCCAGCCAGCTGTGAACCCTCACCTTTTCTGTCACAAACTTGTTGACGTCTACGTCCTCAGGGAGGAAGTCCTTCCACCGCAGGCCTGCCTCCCTCCACATTGTACCTGCCTTTTTATGGCTCTGATGGGAGGAAAGAGATGTTTGTAGACTGATGGAAAACGCAATCGTATTTGTGAATGCCACATGAATAGATCTTAATCTTGTTTTTTTCTGGGACAAAAGTTTATGTATATATGCTAGCTTTTCAAAAACACAATATGACATAATGATGAGCAGCTCTTACCATTCCTTTGCAGAGTAAAGTGAGGATGTGAACCAGCAGGACTCCAGCTTTGCCCAGAGGGATCAAAGGCTTTGAGACATCCCTGAAGACACATCAGGCAACCAATGAATTAACCATCAACAAATAGAAATATCCCATTTATTCCTCATCTGAAGTGTTGAGAGACTTAGCAAGTACTATAACAAACCTGAAAAGTTCTCCCATGGGGATGCCTCCCTCTTGAAGCATGGGAGTGATCAGCTCAGCCAGGTAGAGCCAGATATGGGGGATGTCTATCGCCATGTCTTCTGCCACCTCCAGGATTTCCTTAAGCCTGAAAAAAGAATCACAGTACACGGACATCAAAGATTATTCAAGGGTTAAGAAATTCAAGAACAAGCCCAACTTGACTCAGCAGATGGAATTATTAAGCAGCATCACACCATGCTGGTAGCAACATATGGAAACTCACTGCTTTTTGGCCAGACAGGGGGTTTTAAGATCACGAAATGCAGAAAAATATTCACAAGCGTGACGTTTCCCCGCGGGCCGCTGGTAATGTGGAGTCCTGCTGGTCCAAACTTTACCGGTTAACCCAGCACCTCCCTGGGGGTTCTGTACTCACCCTTTGTAGTACTGCTCCTTTGGTAGGATGTCGGTCTTAATGAGCTGGTGCAGCAGCAGGCCCATGTGCTCCCTGGCGATCGTGCTGCGCTCCAGTGTTGACTCCAGCCCGTTTCGTACAAACACAAACAGCAGCTGAGTGCTATTTATCTCCTGCACGCACTGCAGAGCCTCCTGTGGGGACAGACAAGGACAGAAAGACAGCAGTGAATCATAAGCTCCTCTTTTATCCTCTCATGGCTTTAAGTGTAATAAATAGATGTTCAGGTGTCAACAATGCGGACTTTAGATGATGGAAATACACTGAAACCCTCACTGTGAATAAGAAGACTAATAGAGCAGCATTAATTATAAAGTGCTTTAATTGGTTCACAAAAGCACTTTGTGAATACATTTCACATAAGCAAAGGTAAAAGGTAGTTGTTGTTTTTTGTATTTAATTTTAGGTGTCCTTGCTCTGTGTGTGTGTGTTTAAAAAGCAGCATCAGTGTGTACCTTCATGTCGTTGATATGGAGGTACTCCTCAATGATGGCTGTCGACTTCTTTTCCAACTCCTCCTCGGTCAAGGCAGGCTTGGTGGGGGTCTGGGGAGGTGGAGGGGTGGCAGCTTTCTCCCTCTTCGCTGTTCACAGAACAACAAAAAGAAAGAGAACAGCAAATCAGATTTTAAGCTACATGAGGGGGAAAAAAAACAAACAGAAACATTGTTTCCAATTATCTTCTTGTAAATCTTCAAACTGAAGTCAACCGAATAATGAGGAGCACAACAGTCCTGCCAACATTTTTATGTTTGGGGTGGAGTTGATTTTTTCCCCCTAACAACAACAACAACAAAAAAATCTGATTATTTGAAGCTTTCAGAGAATCGTGCACTGATGACAAAAAGAGCTGCAGAAATCATGATGCGACTATAAAATCCAGATTGTTATTCTTAGAGTGCAGTGCGGTTGCTCTGTATGATTTTTTTTTTTTTTAAAATCATCACCATCTATCTCGTCCTCTGAAACAGACCTTTTTTAACTGATCTCATATTTCATAATAAATAACATCAAGCAAGCTGGATGCCATTAAGTGCAGTTTAATTTACTGGCACTGTCCCACAGATGCTGGAAAATCTGGATTTTTCCCCCCTGCCCTTGCAGCAATTTTTTTAATTTGGGCTGACAGATGTGCTGTTCGTCATCTTCCACCTGTTCTTTTCCTTGTTGTCTCTTAGTTTTAATTCTTTTTAAACAAATAAACTTCGATTACAAACTTTTTAAAAACTGTTTCTCAGAAGAAACAATTTTGAAAAACGTCATTATTTCAGACTTTATTTTTAAACTGTTATCACTCCCATGGAAACACTTGCTGGCTTCTTCCTTGGACCAAACTGCTTTTTTTAAGTTTCTCCAGTCTGACTATCTCCTTCTTTTTTGCCTCAGTGGTGCAAGTGATTTCTGTTTTTGGTTGGCAGAAGCAACAATGCTTTTCTGGTTAATTTAGAGCGAGTCTGCTTCACTAACATATGCATGGCGGTAAGAGCAAAATTGGCCGATGTCATAAATACGAACGTTTACACGCACATATTAGTAAATGAAGACCACTGTGCTCACACCCAGAGCTATGAGTACTCTGTACATGTCCTGCAACCAACATGTCTAGAAACACTAACTACATCATGGATGTCATTTTTTCATTCATAAAAAAAAATGTTAATCTAGGGCATAGGCGTCAAACTCTGGCCCGCGGGCCAAATTTGGCAGCCTAATTACATTTGCCCCGAAAAGCCATACCAAATTATTATTAGAGCTGGCCTACTGGTATTATACAGCTAATATATATATTGTTTAGTATTAAGCTTTGCTTGTTCCATATTCAGTTTTTCAGCAAAACTTGTTTGAGTCCATAAGAAGAGATTCATTCTTAAATCTGGAGGAAGATTTTTTTTTCAATAAATATTAATGTTAACCCGCGACTTTGTTCCAGTTTTGAATTTTGGCCCACTGTGTATTTGAATTTTCCAAGTTTATAGTGGTGTGATGATGAGCCCAGGTATCTGAAAAGGACTATTTTTTTCAAGTCTGGTCTCCTGCTGTCTGATTTAGTATTGTGAAAAGATTTTTTAATTTAAGTTTTAAATATTTAATATTATATGCTAAAGTTATCTCAGGCAGGCTACCATTCTCTCTGCTTCTGGCCCGTTCTCTGCTGTCTCGGTCATCCGTCATGCTCGCCACACGGCGGACTGGATCAGCAGGGCCACGCTGCTCTCTGTCCCGACTCCGCTCCTCCTTCTCCCGACTGAAACTGCGTTTAGTGACCTGGAGCTGGTTTCGATCACGGTCGTCACGTCGCTCGAAGCGGTCGCTGCCACGATCGGAGCGGTCGAAGCGATCACTTCGTTCTCGACTCAAGCTGTTTCTGTAGAGTTCAGACAAGAAGTCGTACAATTGTAAAATACATCTCTACACACTCACAGTATGAACACTGAAAGGTTTGAGCTGGTAATGAGAATTGTGTCCCTTTGCTCACCTCTGAGGAATTCTCTTATCTGTATCTATTGAAGAGCCTGAGGACGAAGGCTGCTGCAGGGCTGAGAACCTGTTAAGCGTGCTGGTGGCTGGTCGGCTACCCGTCTCTGAGCCTGGGGATTAAAACAGGCACACGATACAAATTAAACTTCAGTTCTGATTACCACAAATAGATAATTCTTTGATATATAAACAAATTTGTGGAAAAAACCTACCAGAATCTGCAGGCTTGGCACTTGTGCCACCGCTACTGCCCTTACCCCAGCTGCCCCATGTGCCTTTACCTCCTGGGGCAAGCAGCTGATTGTTGAAGTCAAGAACAGGAGTCTGAGAAGAAAAAGCTGTCATTAGAAGTCTGATATTTTCAATTGATTGTCAAAATGTGCTCACATTGTGTGTGAGAGGAAACCCCCTCCCTCTCTTACCTTAGTGATTTTGCTAAGGCGAGAGGTGTCAATAGGTCTGTTTTTAGAGATGGGCACTGTGTTCCAGCCGTCATCCTGGGGAGAGGCACCACGCCCTGGGGAGTGGGTTCCCCTACGGCCTGGAGAATGAGGGCCTCGACGACCTGGAGAGTGAGGGCCCCGACGGCCTCCACCCATCCTGCCTCCTGAGCCTCCACTGGATTCCTTCTTAGAGATGAGGGCTTGCTGCACCTTCATCTGCTCCCTGTGTTCCTCCAGCTCAGCCTCTTTGTGGATCTGGTCGATGGTCTTGGGACCCTGATCGCCTCGCCGGGGCACCCAGTTATTCTGGAACAAGTACAAGACAGAATTGTGAGAATGATGGGGGGAAACAACAACAAACACACAACACAAAAAAAAACACGAGGATGACTTTGAAAATGTATTCTTTTTCTGTCTATGTCACTATTGTATGAATGAACACAAAGCAGATCTTATGTGCCCTTGTCATTTTGATGAGTGTCTCTAAATCAGTGACCTTTATAACTACAGTGTTCATAGAACAAGACAGCGAGAGAGAGTGAGATAATCATTCCAGTCGCGTTTCTGTTTTTGTCTTGAAATAAAACATGCAGTATGTGCTTCAATTAAACTGGGCCACTACACTGACACAGAGCAGCAGATTCCAGCTTGAAAAACACTGAAAACAGCAGGTTTTGTAGGACTTTGTGGGAGGGACTGGAAGCCTAACTGAAGGACTGCAACATTCCTTCAAAAGCACAAACAAGTTGTCCCTTTTTAAATCACATTTTCTCATCTTCTTTCAGTCTCTGTAAGCTAAAAGTCAACATTGGCTTAATCTTATAATTCAATATAGCTTCAATACCACCACACTTAACTGGCTTCAGAAAGTTGCACGTAATTGAGATAAATTTGGGGGGGGGGAAGGGGTGACAGGAAAATTATGAGGCACACATGATGACATAGCATAGGATCCCTCAAATCCTGTTACTTCAATTGAGAGAAGATGAATGGATGAATGAACATGCTGCTGTTTGTTGTCTCAGCCAATGGCACAGAGTAGCTCTGTGTTTAGGAGCAGCAGCTCCTAATTGGGAACCCAACAGATTTAAATATGATATATATGAAATCGCATTTTCTATCACTTTATCTGATTCAATAAAAGTGCCTGTAAAAATCTCAAGTGTTGCATAATGGGTCAGGCTTTAAAAAGCTAGATCTTATTTTTGGTCTACTCAAATCATAAAATTTATAAATAAGCATTTTTTTTAAAACAACAAATCTACAACCAGAGAGATTTAGTTGGGGAAAAGGCTCAAGCTCCAAATTATATATGCAAAACAGCTCATTGAGTCCATATGCGACTTTGTTATTTACCCGTCGAAGGTCCAGCACATCCTGCAACATGAAACGGATCCTGGAGGTGGTCTTCCTCTCCTTTATTATTTTCTCCATCTGATTGAAGTATTGGTCCATACGAGGCTGAAGTGGGACACAATAGTTAGGTTAAGTGCATTGTGTGTTTATCAGTCAAAATTATAGAATCTTGGGTTGCATGCATCTCGGTCATGTGTCTCCAACATGTGTGTGTTTTGTACCTTGGCCTTCTCAAAGTCAAGGTCCTTGCCAATGGTGGACAATAGTCTGCACAGGCACTCCAGAGACTCCTCGTCATGGTTTTTGAGCAGCTTGACAATGCAGTCGTGCATGATGACCTCTGTGAGCATTTTCAGCTTGAACAGCTCACCAATGAACTTGATATTGCCTAGAGACCTCCTCCTGGCCTTGTCCTTAGCCTCTTCTAACTCCTCAAGGAGCCGCTGCTTCTCCTCCTCCTGGGAAACAAACACAAAAAAAGGCATTCAAAACAAGTACAGTTAGATGGATCTCTGAAACCTTTCAGATGTTTAACTATTGACTTGACACATGACTTCCTTTGTACAAATAATAGTTCACAATGCAGCATACATACCCCGGATGCAGCTTCCAGCTCTTTCTGCTTCTTCTCGAAAATCTCATCATCGTCCTTATCCTTCTCAAACTCCTTCTGGCATCGATTTAGCAGCAGCTTGCGAAAATTTACAGTGGCTCCTGGTTTATCTGGAATTTCGACTCTAAGCTGAAAAAAGCAGAGAAAGAAAACATATGTTAAGTAAATGGCAAAAGAAGACAGGGTGCAAGCTCAGTGTTGCAGTGGTTCAGTCCCTCAATCCCATCACTTAGATCAGTGGCCCAGAAACGTGGCACTAATTTGAGTTCATCACTGGAGACTCAAAGACATTTGTAAACTAGCAGTACGAGGATTGACACCACTGCAAAAGCATTGTTGCATCTGCCAACCCCAGTGTCAATCTATTACAAACCATTAGAGCTGCACGATTTTGTATAAAATGAGAATCACGATTTTTTTGCTTAGAATTGAGATCACGATTCTCTCACGATTTTCTTTTCCAGTATTAATATTTATTGCGCTTATTAACTGCACATCAACTTCGTAACAGTTGAGACTGAACATAAAAACAATAAATGTCTCACATTTTGTCGTTGCCGCAAAATGTTGTACTGCTTGAAATTCCGTCTCCACCGTTGCGTGTATAGAGCAGGTAGTGCAACAATAGAAAAACTGTGTGTAGCGTTTGTCTAGGGTGTTGATCATTTTCCTAAATCCCTCGTTTTGCACAGTGTTAATGGGAGCCATATCTTTGGTCAGGTGATAAGTAATAGCCTCCGTAATTTCTTTGTGCCTGCAGGAGTTCGACGGGTATAGGGAAGCACTGTATAAGGTTCCCGTTATTGATGTTTGGGTGGTTAACCGGGACGGATTTTCTCCAGTCACTTTCTCGTCATCCCTGACGTGCTCTCCGTTGTTTTTTCCCTGCCATTTTTAGCAGCCATCTTCTGTATCATGTGGTATAAGGCTCTGCTCATCGTGATTTTCTAACGATTAATCGTGCAGCCCTACAAACCATGATGTCACTTTTGGGGTGGAGTTCGGGCTTCCTGCATTGCCAACAACTACATTTAAGATCGAACAATGTTATTTAAAAAAATAAAAACAACAACAAAAAACATATATACATGCACACACACACATTTATACATATAAAAAATATACAGTACAGTTAGAGTTATCTCACTTCAGAAGTTCAATTTTTAAAAAAAGGTGCCCTACAATACCCCCAAGACCCACAGCAATGGTCGCTTCGCTCACTGCTTAAACATTGTCTCACAGTCACTTCTATTTATTTCAATAAGGCACGGGAAGCCGCTGCAGTATTCTCTTGAATGTTAGGTGTACTGATATTAGAGGAGAAAAGTCAAAACGGGAACCAAAGACGTTGCTGAGTGTTATTCTGCAAAGTTCTTTCAACAAAGCCTCAAGTTTTCAAACAGTCCCAAGGTCTCCCTTGGTGTATCTGTGAATGTCTGAGCTCCGGTGCTGGAAAATAATTAAAATGGTGGCAAAAACTGACCGGACACTGTACAGATGCGATTGTGGCACACCGCGCTAAGTTACAAAATCGAGAGGTGCATGACCAGCCAAAGTGCCGGCAAGATTGTTGTGTGCGACAAAGGATGTGATGTCAAACTAGGCACAGCAGGTAGCGCAAAGCGAGCATAATGACCCTGTAAGAGTTCATCTTTCACCATGTTACTATGCTGTGATTGCAAGTAAGTAGGTAAAATTGTATTTGTATATCACTTTTCAAGACAAGAATCACAAAGGACCACAAATTGCTCGACTACATTGCAGCCACTCCCCAACTCTCTGTGAATGGTACTCATGGCCATTAATCTTGACAATTTGCATATTAATGATCGTGAAACTGACTTCAAGGCCTTTTGTTACTCAGTGGTGCTAGTTTCAGTCACTATGCAAATGCACGGTTTGTGAAGGTTGGAGAAACCTGCAGTCAGCTCATACCGTTTTATTAATATCTATGTTCTGCTATGTCATGTTAATCACTCATAGCTGTGTGTGAACAAGCTTAAAAGTGATTTTGTGTTCTGTGTTTGGTAAAGCATTTATTACTTTCTCTTCATTTACCGTTTATCCATCAATCACACAACAATATGATACAGCCTTGACATATCGACAAATCTCGCGGTAGAGTGCTACAGGCAAAATCTCTACTGTTGGCCAAATTCATATCGTTTCTACCGTATACCGCTTATACCGCCCACCCCTACTCTGCTGCATAAGTTAAACATCTAAACAACAACACTTCCATTGTAAATATTCAAGCATCTATATTGGGTGAGACATCACTTACCCCCATAAGGCAGCGGCACATGTTGGCATAGGCCACAGAGAAGTCTGGTTCAGAGATGGCCTTTTCAAAGGTGAGGTCTATGACTCCTTTCAACCGCTCTTCTGTGTCAATGGTCAGTTCTGTTACTTGTTTCATGAGCTGCTGAAACTTTTGGGGGGTCAGTTTATTGAGGATGCTGCGCACCCGTTTAAACAGCTCCTGGGTCTTGATCTGCTCTGGTTCACTCTCGTCTACCTCCTCTGCCCCACGGCTGCGAGTGCTTTTCTTCACTGAAGACTTCCACGCCTTCTCTGCTTTGTTCAGCTGCACCTCATCACTGAGTGGCATGCTGCTGATGATTTTCCTCAGTTCTTTCCTCGGCATTTGTTGAGAGCGACGTGGTCCGCCAATCCCCATGCCCATACCTGGAGACTGTAAGGGAAACATCAAAACATGATTTAATTGAAGTGGTAAATGGACTGGTTCTTATATAGCGCTTTTCTACTCTTTCTGAGCACTCAAAGCGCTGTACACAACCCATTCACACCCATTCGCACAAGCACATTTTTCTAAGTGCTTTCTAAGTAACATTCACACACATTCATACTCCGATGGATGCATCGGAGAGCAATTTGGGGTTAGTATCTTGCCCAAGGATATTTGGCATGCAGACTGGGGATCGAACCACCAACCTTCCGATCAGTAGATGACCTGCTCTACCACCTGAGCTACAGCCACCCCAGTAATAATTCAATTGGAAACTGCTGAGTTACACAAAGAAAAATTGAACTCACTGGTCCTCTGCTTCCTCCTCCCATGCTGGGCCTGCCAAGGTTGGCAAAGGAGGGCGTGAAGTCAGGGCCGCAGTTCATTCCTGGAAGGCGACTGGGGTCGAGTTGTCGCAGAGGTGTTTTATTAGCCTGAAAAGACAGAAAGCAGGATGGGAACTTAATTACAATTTCCACTACTATGTGATCTAGACATGTTTTTTTTTTGGTCTTATTTCACTTAGACTAGACTTTAGGGTAAATCTTTGCACCTTGTCCAGGACAACATCACTGATGGCTGGTAGACCCTCAGGTTTGTTCATACTGGCTGAGATGAACTGGAATCCCAGAAGAAACTCACGGTCATATTTCTTCTTCTCTTCTGTGTTTATTGGCATCCATTGTTCTGAAACAAACAGAAAACAGAAGATGTCTTCTTGTTAAAAGACATTTCACAACATATGAGAGGAGGAAGGTAGACCACTCAATGAATAAATTCTGTCAAGTTTCAGACACCCACCCTCTTTGTACTGATACTTCTTGTCAGTGGCAGTCGGATTGAGAGGATCCGGCTGAATATTCTCAGCATCCAGCTTGTCCTCCTTGTCCTCCCAGGTTAAGTCTGCCTCCTCTTGGGCAGGAGGAGCAGTGGCAGGGGGCTGGGGCTCTGGTGCTGGGACTGGCTCAGGCTCTGGTGCAACCACCTTTTGCTGCTTAGTCAGAAAAATCAGTTTGGTATTTAGGAAGCTCATAAATATGAGCTTCATTAAGACATTATGGTAAAAAAATCAGCAACTGCAGTTCGTCTTATGTCCCTTGAAAGGGTTGATGACTAGTTTCTTTTTCAGCTTCAGTGGATATGGAGTAATTGCAGATTAGTTACAACAGGCAAGAAAAGTATGAGAATGAATGAACAAATACATCATCGATCAGATACCTCCTTAAAGGCATCCAGGAGGTCTCCCACAGCCTCCTTTTTGTTTAGATCCTTCATTTTTCTTTTTTTCTTTGGCACAGACACAGCAGCTAGAGAAAGAAAGACAGGCAGCCTCAGATGAGCTCAAAAATACCGCATCTGACAGAAAATCGAAGGATGACTCAATTCTCAGTTTGTAGAAAGCAGAAACAAATGACTAAAATAAATCAAACTTGGGGAAGTGACTAACCTTGCATAGTAGTTTCTACAGGGGCAGAGGATACCGTCTGTGGGGGAGGAGGAGTGTCTTCCCTCTCCTCTGCTGTAGGAGGGGGAGGAGTGGGCACCTTTTCTGGGGTGTTGTCAGTTATTGAAACTGTCTCTGTAGGAGAAGACGTCTCTTCCTTGGTGCTAGACTGGGGCACTGGAGTGTCTTCCTTAACATCCAGAGTGGCTGCAGGAACAGTTTCTGGAACCTCAGGCTGGGCAGGTGCCGCCTGAGGTGGTTCCGCTTCTTGAGCACAGGGTGCAGGGGTTGAATGTTTAACAGGTGGAGGTATGGCTTCTAGATATAGTCCTGCCTGAGCGACGTTTGCAGATGTCTGTATTATCAGCTGCTGACTGACATCTGGTTCAGCTATGGGGCTGTCGTCACGTTCAGCTGTGTTGACGGCAGGCGCTTCGGGGTCTTGAGGGGCTGGGAGCGGCAGCCCGTTGGGTAGTCGGAGCTCCTCAGGCTGTGCAATTGGAGACTCCAGAGGGTCCTCTAGGTGACTTGGTGGTAACGTGACCGACAGCCTTTCAGGTTCCAACTCGGCCACACCATTAGTGGAGGAAGGAGGAGTTTGGGGTGTGTCTACTGACATCACATTCTCTTCTGCTTTAGTCTCCTCTTCCTTTGCCACCTCCTCTTTTGCCTCTGGTGCTTTATTGTCAACTTTGTTCAGTGCAGCAGAGGTGGGGACAGGATCAGGAAGGGGTGCAGGATAGGCAGGTATCTCAGGTGCTGACTGGGGAGGGGGTGTAGGTTCCCTGTGAGATGGAGGCGCATCCATCACATCTGGAACAGGAGGGCTCGGTGCAAGTGCAGATATAGTGTTAATAGGCGTGTTCTCAGCTTCTGACAGAGGAGCGGGTAACGGGGTCTTAGTGTTCGTATCAGAGGTGTTAGCCTCTGTAGGGATGGAGTCGCCTTTGTGAAGTTCAGGGGTCTTTGCCACAGGTGGAGGTGTAGGTTTCCTTCTGTCATCTGAAGGGTCAAAAGTCAGAAAAAAAAAAAGACACAGTTATATTCGTGTTTTTACAATCAACACTGAATACATCGTTTCTGAAAACCTATAAACAGATATTCATCCACAGCCACGGGTCAACTATGTGAGGATAATAAAGCTTTTTATGTTATATATCTACACCTCATTCAACCCCCTTCCCAAAATAAACCAGCTTCCCTGTTTTCCTACACTTGGGCGAGCCACTCAGGGATGTTAACAACTTATTTTAACTATGTTTAAATCCAGCAGAGAGAATGGCACCAAGCAGCGTGGATTTACTAGTAAAATTCTCATCACTCTTATTTTGAAAGTGGTGCTTGATAGCAGTTGTGTGCACTTCCATACAGATAACCCTACTTAACCTTAGGTGGAAAAATTACCAATCATGCGATGCTGACTGCTCAAGATTCACCAAGATACTTGTTGTTCACCACAGGGCTCCTCGATACTCACACAGACTAAAATATGTACAAACAACTGAACAGTGAAAAGGAAATGTGTTTCAACTAAGAACTGCTTATGCCCACAGGCTGTGATTTAACATGCCTTATATCCACATAGATGGCTTGTTTCATGAATCAAGTTTGGTCTCCAGTTACTTTAACAAGATATCCAAAGTAAAGAAACATTAAGTCATACATAGCACAGGCTCTATCTGTCCTTTCTCCTAGCTTCTTTAAACAGTTATTGCTGTTTACTGGTAGAAGTCAATCTTAACAATTAAGTAATCACAAGATGAAAACATTAACTGGAATCATTTCATTTTATAGGTGAATTTAAGACCTATTCAAAGTAAAAAATGGTTATGAAAGTACAAACGGCTAAGCAGGATTCACACAAATAACAATTATATAAATCGTAGTAAGTAAAATATGTATCGACTGTGTTCAAGACTCAGCATGTGCCACTCACCTGGTCTAACCAGTGCTGGTGTAGTAGCAGCTGGGACACTCTCACCGTTGGCCTGGGTCAATGACGTGCTTTCTGATCCAGATGTCTGGTGGGAGACATACACACAAACTGAAAGGTGAGCTTACAATTGAGGTTAACACTTTTTTTTCCCATTTGACTATGGGGGGTAAAAAGGAAAAGAAAAAACAGGCTCAAATCCCAGCTGGTTTTAAAAGCCACGTGTCAAAGTGCCAGTCAGTTTAATTTTGACAGATTATAGTGTATCACATTGGAAATGGCAATCAGCAATCTTTCCAAGCAGTAACATGTGGACAGAGCATGTGAGTCAATTCTAGTCCTTTCTGTTTTACTTAATCTTATATTAAATAAAGCAGAAAGTATTTTCTCTATATTTTAATATGGACCCCAGAAAGCAATAGTTGTCAGGTAACGTCACTTTCAAGTGTATGAGTTTATAAAAAGCGAACAGTGTGCTTGTATGGCCGCTCTCCTGAGTACTTTTATTCAAGAATGTGGCTCTGTGGCTTACCTGAGGTGGGGTTGGGGTGGAGCCACTACGGCCCCCTGACATAATCTCTTCTGTGATGTCTCGACCTCCTTGGTTTGGGTCTCTTATTCTGATCTGTGGAGGAAAGAAAGTAGATGAGCTACTGGTGTAAGTAAAACGAACAAAAGATGAGGGTGAGGGACAGCAGGTAAATAACACAGACAACACTTTAGTTGAAACTAACTTCAAATGAAGAATAAAGGCAGGGGAAAAAAACCTGCTTCCCATGGTGCAGTGCCTACATTCGTCTTTTTTCCACAGTCCTCCCTTTAGCTCTTATTCACTAGCTTGCCTCATTGAATGAAAGCTACATTTCTTCACTGAGGCACACAAAATCCAAACTCTAACCACCATGCAAATTCCTCTGCTGCCCAACTGAATGTGCTTCAGCCTCTGAGTCACCAGAAAAGCTGTCTGACTGAGCGTGAATTAAATTAAACCAACTTGAAGCTAAACAGCGAAACAAAACTCCACTGCTGCTTTAAGCCGTTGTTGTTGAAAAAGCCTGCTCACACGAAGGCAAAACACAATCAGATCTGACAACAGAATGCATTCCTGTGTACACACTGCACTCTTCTTATATGTTACAAACACGTGTTTTCTCAGTCACACAAAGTAACAATGAATTCAGGAGTCCAAATGCTGCTAACTTCAGTGACACGGGCTATTCCTAGAAAAGGATTAAACCATTTTTAACACTTTTGCACTCTGACCTACTTTTGATAGTATTAGCTCAACCATGCTGACCTTTACCTGATTCAGCCTGCTTGCAACTCCTCTCCCAGAGTGCTACAAACCCCAGTGGGCCTCTATCATCCGAGGGCTGGAGTAACAGATCTGGCTGGCTTAGGGCTGGACTTTAAACCCCCACCAAAAAAAAAAAAAAAAACCCAGGACAGTGGGTGGATAACAAGTAGCTCCTTCTCAACTTAGCTCCCACAATAGAAATCCAGCACGAGACAGAAGAGCTATACGGAAGACAGAGCAGGGCTGGGCCTGACTCTCAGTACGCTGGCTAACGACTTGACCGTTTCTCATATGCTAAACAGAAGAGGAAAAAAACTGGCCTTGTAACGCTTTGGTATTGGAATGTGCAAACCCCCGCCCACAGAAACTAACAAACAGTTAAAGGGGCCAGAGTGTGAAGGAGGGGCAATTGCAGGGAGAATGGGAGGGTTTCCAGGAACAAAAAGTTGTCAAATGAACAACTGAAGGGTTACCATAAGAAACTCCCCGTTTCCTCAATCCCGCTCTCTCTCTGTTCAGTCATCCTGCACACTCTGTTCAAGTTAGACTTTTTTCTGATTTTTGAGAGCAGAAAAGAAAATGTAGAATTGGAGCAGGAAGGGGGGGTGGGGTGCCACAGCAGCAGAGGAAGGCTGACTGTTTAGCCCTTCCGGCTCAAACGGGGGAGGAGACTGGTGGCCACGTGGAGCTGAGCTATGTGCTGACATGTCCTCCACCCCCCACCCCGCTGAACACTCTCTTTGACGTGGGGTGATAGTGAGAGCACACAAACAGGGGAGTAGAGAGAAAAAAAATGGCATTTAGTTCTTGCAAGTCAGCTGGTATCCGATTTTTGCACGGAGAGACCACTAGCAACAAACACTTTAAAAAGCTACAAACCCAGACACATACACACACACCACTACCTCTGTGTGAAGCTGCCTTTATCCGTTCACAGTAGAACCTAATTTCTGTCAATGTGCCCTGTACAAGACACCAAATCTCTTGGTGCTTCTTTAAAGCACATCACTCCCGAAACTCAAGGAATGCAAGTCTTGTAGTGTGCACATGCGCACACACACAAACCCCAGCCCTTTATATTAACAGCCAAAGCACAATGTAATGTAATTACAAGCAGATATTTTGTGTGATATCACCAATGACATTTATCATCTTGCAACCAGAGCTTCACATTTTGTGTGTCTCATAGATCTGTACAGTGGATCACTCACTTTTCAGACTGAGAAAAGCAGCAGGTTACACTGTTCAGTCAAATGTAAGCATTGCTGCAGATGTCGCAGATGTAAAAGAATGGTGACACAAGAGTGGCTTGAGTTCACAGAGAGCTACCACATACCAGGCGAGGGCCATTTTAGAGCACAGGGGGAACACTAGACATTTTGTTAAATCAGGGAATACATTGTACAGCAGCTCAGCTATACAAAATAAGAAGTTAAAGACGAGTTTATTAATATCTTTTTCAATCAGTAAATTGAATTCAGTGTCCCAATTCAAGCCTGAATCATAACAAGCAACAAGGATGTTTCTGTATCCCATTGCATTGTGTTGAAACTGGATTACAATGACACACATACTTGCTCATAATGCTACAATATGTCTCCAGTGACCATAAATTATCCATCTATAAATCGTGCAAAAGCTGCAGTAATACACTTCATCTGACCAATACTTCTAATATAATATCATGAAATCAAAAAGGGAACAACATTTTTGACTCATCTCAAATCCAGTTGCAAGACACCACTTTCATTATCAAGGACGTTCATTCATAATTTTCTTGTCAGGATTGTTTGAGTGCTGTGTTCACTTTTTTATATAGTGTCTCCTCTTTGATAACTTCCAAGGATTGTCTTTTGCTAATAACATATGATTATTTAAGATTATGTTAAGTCTGTCTAGATAGATGTGGTGATTTTGCATAAAAGCAAATGTAATTGAGGATACACACAAGTCATAAGCAGATAAAACGCATATCCTGTATCACATGCATCTCAAAGCAGCACAGAGAGTTTGAAGTGTGGCACATTTTTGAATTAGGAATGCTGACTGTACCTGTTTGCGTTCCCGTTTGGTAGGGATGTGCTGGGCAGGCTGAGGGGGTGGCTGTGGTTGTTGAGGTGCAGGATTCATAATCACAGGTCCTGCCTGGACCGAGGGGGTGAACTGTGGCTGTGCAGGGTAGTAGGCCCCTGCTGTGAATCACAGACAGAAGAATGTAAACCAAGTCATATTGACTTAACATAAACACATCAACTTAAAACACATACCACTTAAATAAATACCTTGCTTCTGGTTACCAGATAATTTTTTGTATATTTCCGGATAGTTTTAATTTTTGCTTTCATTTCGGATTCATTTCAATTAGTGTCAAGAGTGAGTTTGCTCACTTCAGTTTAAGTATGAATGTTTAAACATGAATGTTTTAAAGCTTCCTCAGGCTGATTGTGTTGACCAATTTAACTGAACTTGTAGCCCTTTTCCCCTAGTACCTCCTCGCTCGCCTTGCCTTGCCTTTTTTTGGGATTTCTGAAAGTACCTGGTACCAGGTACTTTTTTAGTACCTACTTGGCCGGGGTAGGTACTAAAGGGTTCTGAGGGATCTGACGTGATCTAAAAAATGTGATGTCAGACTGCATGCCACTGATTAGCTAGTTAGTGGTGTCACACGATGTGTGATGAGAACGTCTCCTTCACAAAAATCAAAATCATCATTTTTCAAACCCAGCAATGATGAAAACGGCTACACAAAAAAAAAACCCCCACTGTGGTCTGAGAGTCTGTCAAAAAAAAGGCATACACCAAGCAGCAGGAACACCATCGCCTCGGTGTCTCCATTGGTGTGGTATCCGTGTAGCATACAAATGATGTCACAAGCTACAGTGGTATAGCAACGCCATGCACAGTCATGCATAGTCGATCGTAATGGAAAATGACCAAAACTGCACCTATTTTTTGCAAGGATGCCATAACAACAATTACTGTTTTCAACTAATTTTCAACAAATCCATTTTCCCCAATAGCAGAAAAATGATTTTATATAAAACGAATTAAGGAAAATTAAAAATTCTAACTCAAAAATCTGATAAATGACTTAGTTCATGTAATGTAATATTAGGGCAAAATATTATATTTCAGCAGTTAAAAAAGGGCAAATGTCTTAAACTCTTGCAGCTCCTTATTTTACGACTTTATTATCGTGTCTATTTTTGTTTAGCTCATTTCTACATAAACAGTAGCTAAGTTAATAACATCAAGTATCAGGTGATTTTAATTACTTATTTTCCTGGGAATAAATAATTCAATTAACTTCTTTCAGTAGAGATTTGCTAGAATAGAAACAACTGCCTAAAATCAGCATTTCACCAAATGCAACAGTTAAGCAAACATGGTACCAAGAAGAACCCCAAGTAGGTTTTCAGACCATGACACAGCAGTCTGCTGTGTCAGCTCTGCATTGGTGATCTCATAAGGAATTAAAAACTCAAATCACATTCACAAACTTGCCAAGAAAGCTGCTGCCAGTGTTACACCCTCCTAAAGAGCAAGCAAATGCTTTTTGCATACCTGGTCAATACTGTCAACAAGACAAAACCACTCAGTGACATTACCTGGCCGTGTAACTGGCCTCAGCTACAGTTCAAAATCAGGTGTAGCCCACTTTTACAAGACTTAGACTAAAAAAAACAAAACACAAACAAGAAAAACAAGAAGGACCCCCACCCCCCAAAACTCTAAACTGAAGAGGCCTCTCTTTCAGGTTGGGAGTAGCTAGCTCCTTCTCTGCTTCTCTCCCCTGCTGCATGCATTACAGTCTAACTCACATTACTGAGTCTGCATTGTTGCCCAGAAGCAGCACAGCCTAAATATAGTCAAAAACCCACACCGGCTGGGGGAAGACTGAGTGCGACATGGAAAGGGAGGGAAGAAAGTGAGCGATAGAAGGACAGAGAGAGGGAGAAGGTTCATAAAAGCAGAAAGCCAGAAGGCGGAATGAGACTTGGACAGTATCCCAATACTGTAAATAAGAGACCTGAGATATGACTCAAAGCACAAAAGTTTGCCATAAGAGGGGGATGGGGGGCTGCAAAGAGACACCGTCTAGACAACACCTACCCTCAGAGTCCTCCTGCTCTCGAGAACCACGGTTGCCCATGTTGAACTGCTGCAGAATGTAAAGACTGTACAGAAATACAATTTAGAGGGGGTTTTCTCTTTAAACCCCCTCTCTAACTTTCTTCCCTGTCCTCTGTACAGGTGCCCTCTCAGAATGACTTCTTTTAGTCCTCAGCCCTCCCTCTTCCAGCGTGTCTCCATTTTGCTCCTCCCTCTGACCTTGCTGATTCCTCCCCACCTCCCTCCTCTTGAGTATAGTGGCAGACAAACTAAACTGTGCCATTCCGAGTGGCTCTGACTTCCCTGAAGACTCCTCTATCTCTCCACCACAGCCATGTTATCTGATCTTTGGTTAACACATAAGAGTCAAACGGATTTGGTGTGTGTGTGTGTAGGGGGAGGGCTGTTTCTATGTATGTGTGTTTTAAGAAACACTCCACCACATAGATGGCTGCAAGGAGGCAAAATGATATTCTGGGATTATAACTATGACGAGCATAGATCTTAAGAGGGCAAAAAAAAAAAAAAGCATTACTTCCACACATGAATCCCTTTTTTGGCTCAAGACATCTTCATGAAGCAAGCAGCAGTGAAGTCAAGGTCCTCAGCAACCAGGTTTAAAGAGCCATGTCTTACAGTCACTGGACAGTTATTTTAATGTCATGTGCCATCTGATTTCACGACATGCCAAGGGACTGTCAGAATGACTGATGCAACAGACACGCAGGAGATTATTTTCAGTGTCATAATAAACATGAAATCAGCCGGCTCAACAGCCACACAGCCCATTCCTATCAGCTGTAGCCCTGCTGTGGTGCAGACTGACACTTAAATGCACTTTTATGTGCCATCTCAGTCAAAAGTACAGAATGGGAAGTGTTTCTGTTAGGGTCAAACTATCTGGGTTTGTACAAGACGTGGGAGGGTTCAATATTCAGACCAGACATTTAAGTATTGTAAAGATTTACTCATCACTAAAACTCCACAGAAGTTTACAATCTAGTAAAGCATTGTCAGACTGTTTGGGCAGACAAAAATGATCTTGTTCAAACTCCTATAGAGATTGAAAATGTGACGTCATTCAGGGGTAAAACCGCAAAGGATTCTGGGAACTCGTGGCAAGAGGTACTAGCGCACGCAGGCTTTCAATTGAAATTACAT